TCGCCCCAGAAACTAATCCGTGTTTACATGACATTCACATAAAAATTGTAATGGGTAAGTGAGCGAATTAAAAAATACAAGCAAGAGAGAAAAATTGGATTTTTTTTTCTTTGGGAACAGATTACTGGTCAGTTTATAGGTCGGTAACATTTAAAGCAAATGAACGAGATGAACAATGCTAAAAAAAAAGTGATGTGTTAGGGAGAGATTAATCATCTGTGAAATGAGGGATGGCCAATTTCTGCTTACTGAATGGTCATTCTTCTCGAAAATATAGGTTGTCCTCACTTTGTGTCATTAGGGGGCGTTACTTATTAGAAAATAGGCATCATTTTAGGGTTTGTTTTCCATTATGAACAGCAGGGTATGCTTGTGGGGATTCAGTGTAAGAGTCGACGCGTGGCCAAAGCAATGTTTTCTTTAGGAAAGATTATTGATTTTTTTTTTCTTTTTAATACAGTGGAACCTCGGTTCACGAATTTACTGTTCCTGAAGCTCGTTCGTAACCCGAAATGTTCGTAAACCGAGACTATTTTGTCAATAGGAATCAATGTAAAATGAATTAATCTGTTCCTGGTCCCAAGATGATTGCTTATTTAAACTTTAACAACAGTACTTTGGGCACAAGTTTATGCACAAAACCAATGAAAATCATTAAATCGAAGAAATAAAAAAAAATACTAAACAGATAAAATATAGATGAACACTTCAATTTTACTGTACTTGCATGTAGGAGAGTTGATGGCGTAAGTGGAAGGGGAAAGAAAGAGATGTTATTGTTTGGAAAAGGGGAAGGAAAGAGATGATCGTCTATTTATAAGAATAGTATAGATCGTTGTTTTTACCATATGAAACTGAGACAATATCATCAACAATTGTTTTTCTCGTAACTCTTTCCTTTACCAGTATCACTGGTAGCTTTCTTTTGGAGCCAGGACTGAGAACTAAAGAAGAGAAAAAAGTCACTGTACAATAAAATTGGAAAAGAAAAGCACAGCACAATACACGAATGTATACAAGATGGCGGTCGACTAAGAAATGATTCCGTTCGGGTTAACACGGTTCGGTAATGTTGTTCGAGAACCGAAAATTTTGTTTGATTACCAAGGCATTTTCATCTCAAATATTCTATTCGAAAATCGATTTGTCCGACATGTGAGACGTTCGAGAACCGGTTTAGTTGTATCCATTAATGCGAAGCCGGCGGATATGAAATGCCTGATGTAAAGCCTTCCCAAATTGCAAGAAAGAATAAAATGAAATTAGTAATAGTTATTTTTATATGATGATTTCATCTTCTATTAAAATTTAAGAAAATTTAAATCTCCAGTGCATATTCGTTTTGCATATTGGGTTTCTCTTGATCCTTACTTAACTCCTAAAAGTCAGTAATTTAAGGCTTTCGATGAATCTTTCACACAAGATATGTCATAATGGCTCCCGCGTGATTTGCCACGAAGTACTTTTCAGACACTTGAGCACCTTCTGAAATTCAACACACTAGAAGAAGATGCGGTACTTTTTATTGATTTGATAATATTTATCATGATACCGTTTTAGAAAACGTTTCTACGTTTTTTCAATTATATAAGAAAAATAAATTATGTAAAAAGAAAATCGTCACGTGTTTATTACTGATGACATATAAAAGCTTCATTTTTAAAATTAGGGTTAGTTATGAAATGCACTATTGTTTCAAGCAAGACAAAATAGATATTTCCATAGACGTTCTTGTTTATCAGATTTTTATACATTTGGGAATTGTGAACTCTAAGTGTAATAACAAAAGTACACAGGTGTAGGCTTTAAGAAAGCTTTATTCAACTGAGAATACAAGGTTCGCGTATAGTGTCCTTTTATAATCCCAGTAAACAGAAATAGCTCTCTCAAAGAGGAGAGTAACAAAACAAGGGGAGACCACACTTATTCATAACAATAAGTTTACAAATATAAATCGTTATTTTTGTTTGCAGTAATTAATTTTATAAATAGATTTGTTAATTAGTTATTTAATGCTGAAATCTAAATATTTTAAATGCAATTTTATGACTTCAACTGAATATATTTTGTAGATAATTTTATACTTTGAGTAAAGGTATGTGTTATAAATAATCAAGCGTAGTCTCCCCTTGTTTTGTTACTCTCCTCTTTGAGAGAGCTATTTCTGTTTACTGGAACTATAAAAGGACACTATACCTTGTATAGCGAACCTTGTATTCTCAGTTGAATAAAGCTTTCTTAAAGCCTATACTTGCGTACTTTTACAGTATTTTTTAAGATATATAGTTTATAGATTTTAAAATTTATTGTTTACTATAAAAGTGTATTTTTATATTTATTTAGTGTTGCATTGATTGTCATTTTTGCTATAAAAATTTATTGTTGCTCATTTTATTATGAAAAATATTGATTTTTGTTTGAGAATTCAGTATTTGCCTGAAGCTCGAACCTTAACAGGTGCTACCACCTCAGATCAACGTGAACCTAGGAAGAAAAGCAATTAAAAGTTAGTTCTAGGCCCCCTCAAAAACTCCCATTGTCATAACCAGGACGAAAAAAATTGCGTTTCTTTTTTCTGAAGTTACAATGGCATACTTGTTAATCATAACTTTACAGAGAATGCCGATTATTTCTTTATACTCGGATTAGGTTTGTATTGCACAAAGTTATTATTTGCTAACTTTGGCACGGGGACAATAATATGGACAATATGTGACAATTGAACTCTCTATTCATGGAACAAGACAAGCTTACTAACCCTTAGACCATACTGAGGCAGTCTAAATCAAGATTTTGTTATTTACGCTAAGCTAATCTATTATTACTTCTTCTTATTATTATTACTATTATGTGCGGGTGGTGTAATGGATAGCGGCTAGCAATGAGAAATCGGAGAGCTGGGTTCGAATTCCAGTCGAGTTTATGGTCTTTGCTTACACAAAAATACCCTTGGGAAAGGTATGAATCTATGTTTTGTTCTATGGGCTAAACTGTACAACCGACAGTGTTCTTTAACCTCGTTTGGCAACCAGCCAAGGAGAAGAACAACTCTTAATTCAAAGGGAACCATAGCAGCAACGCTTAGTGTTGTTGAGAGCTGCGGCTTCCCAGGGAGTGTGAGTAGTTGTATGTGGCACCCAATTAGGATCGAAATGTCTTCTCAGCCTGCTGACCATTACACCATACTGAGGTGCATGAATCAGGATTGTTTTGTTATTTACTAAGCTTATATTAGTTTTAGTGCAAAGACACTAGTATATAGCACCCGTTAAGAATCGAACTCTCTACTGTAAATCAGATATGCTCGCTAAACATCACCCGACGCCGAATAGCTGCACTAACTGGAGGGTCAATCTTATTGCTGATGGTTACTGTAATTAATTCGCTAATATTCATTCTGCAACAGTTTCCCAGGTCTTGCAATGCTTACAGCCACATCACGTTGAAACACGAAGTTAAGCATCGTCGAACCTGGTCACTATCTAGATGGGTGACCACTTGAGAATACGAGGTGGATGTGCGAGTGGTGTAATGGATAATGGATCAGAATGATAGAGTTGGAAAACGTCTCTGAGTCCTTGTTGGAGAAGAATTATTATCTACCTTCCAACCTCTCTCTCTCTCTCACAGTCGGGACGTAGCGAGTCTCTCACTGCTCTATCGCCATTACCATGGAAAGTGCTCCGACGAACTACATTCCTTGGTTCCGTCAGGTCTGACTATCACGGCTAGGACCCGCCATGCCACGCAAATAGTAGCACCCCCCCCACATTCCCTTCATATTCCATCGGCGACAAGTTCCATTCAAACAGCTTTTTTCTCCCCGACTTACTGCCCCCGTCGAACAGACTCCTAAATGGATGTCTCCCCGATCGCTATCACTGTTCAAGTTTAGAGTTAACCATTATCTCCCCTCCTATCCATATAAAATACCCCTTATCGTAAGACTCTACCTTGAGTGGACCCCAGGCCTTGTACAGGGTGAATCTTACTGTAAAAAAAAATTGTTAATCGGAGAGCCAACTTCCAATTCCAGTTGGGTTCGTTATATTCAGTTACACGCAAATCTCCTTGGAAAAAGTATGAATCCAAATCTCTTCCCCCCCACCTATGGGGTAATTCGTAAGACTTTTATCATTAAGTCATTATTATCACCAAAGAAAAAGCTTACAATCTAAAAATATTTTCTGACTTTAAATATTGGGCAAAGGGTTGATAAACCGTAGAAAACTAATCAAACAAGCAATCAGATCTTGTAATTGTATTTATCAGATCTTGTAATTGTATTTATCAGATCTTGTAATTGTATTTAAGTGGTTATCGCTTCTTTCCACTAGAGGAAGTCTAGAAAACAAGTTTAGTGGCGACGTCATTGCCAAATAAGCAACTTCTTTGTTTTTGCTGCCAAAAACTTAAATCTTGTCAAGCTAAGCGGGTCAGACGGCGCATTACATAATGAATAACTAATTGATTGGTTGCATTTAGCAGTTTGGTTGAAACTTTCTGCCAAACAAGAGATTCCTTTGATTTTTCAAGTTGAAAAATCCTTTCACCTTTTTCCAATTTCGCTTCGTTAGGTTTTATTCCAGCGAAACATTCGCTCAAATAACATTTCGTCGCCGTCAGTACAGAAAACGGACAAGATTAAGGCATATGGAAAAGAAATTTTGTGGCAAGGCAAGAAAAAAAAAAATGGAAAAAAAAACCACCTTCTAAATGACGGTACGATTTGCCGATCTTTGTTTTGCTTCTTTTATAGCATCGTCTTTTTTTTTATCGTCTTTCTGTCTTACGTCACTTTTATTCGAGACGTTTTTTCTACGTTTTTTACTAAAGTTTTTTTTTCTGTTTCTCGTAATTTCATTATTGAATGCTTCCCTATGTTTTTTTCCTTCTCCATCATTCTGCCGCTATTTCAAGTTCATTGTTTTTTGTATCTGTTTGACTCCCTTTCATCTTCTTCTTCTTCTTCTTCTTCTTCTTCTTCTACGCAACTGTAGACACTTCAATGCGTAATTTTCTTCTTCTCTTCCGTCTCCTTCTTCTCCCTCTTCTCTTCCTTCTCCTCCTCTTTTTTTCCTTTTCGCAACTGTAGACACTTCAATGTGTCATTTTCTTCTTCTTCTTCTTGTTTGTCGTCGTAATTATAGACACTTCAATGCGTCATTTTCTTCTCTTTCATGTCCTCTCCCTTTTTCTCCTCCTCCTTCATCTTCTTCTTCACAGCTTTAGACACTTCAATGGCTCATTTTCTTCTTCTTTTCTTCTTCTTCTTCTTCTTCTTCTTCTCTGTAAACACTTAATGTATCACTTTCTTCTCTTCCATCTCCTTCTTTTTCTTCGCAACTGTACGCTTTTGGGTATGAACATATATCAATCTGAGAAACTGTAGATCACACGCCGGATAGCATCAATAATCTGTACCATATACGGTTGGTGGGCGTCTTTTAAATTCCTCAATCTTTGGACAGTAATTGATAAATATCTTTTTTGATGAGTTGGTTTTTTTGGGTTTTTTTTTCTTTTTGCAGTTCTTAGTGAAATTATTGCGAAGCTTCAAGTCCAAGCATTCTCTGGCGTCCGAGCAAACGTAATGTTTATTCAGGCACCATAGAATACCTGCCTAACAAATAATTACTTAATACTGAAATAATAAGTTATTAGGTACGGTATATAGATATCTAGGATGGGGTGCTGAAATGCTCTCGGCGACGTTCTTCAAAAAATCTGATCAAATAACCAAATAACAAGATTTTGACAATGAGATCGGCTCTTAGTCGAAGTGAGAACTTATCAATACGGCTAGTATACACACACACACACACACACACACACACACACACACACACACACACATATATATATATATGAATTTGTCTGACAATCGCAAATAGCGTAAAACCCAGGCTCAGAAACTCACATCAATCCAACTAAATATATTAGCTCTATCACTGATATTGAGCGCTTTCCAATAAGTACCGCGCATATATAATATATGAAATAATATAAATAAAAAATTGCATATATATATACGCATTTCACACACACACACACACACACACACACACACACACACACACACACACACACACACATATATATATATATATATATATATATATATATATATATAATTATTCATTTAAAATATGATTCCAACACGCTACATAAGAGGTCTCATGTTTCAAAACAAGAGCCGAAAACTTCAATATAATTATTTGAATTAAATTGAATTAAAGTAAGCTCTGTTCCATCTTCAAGCGAATTTTTTTTGCTATAACTTATTTCTGAAATTTACGTGTTTTAATAGCATATTCATTATTGAAATCAAAATTTCCATGGTAACAGCCAGAGCGATTGTTTAAATAGGAAGAGGCTATGGGTGTTAATAATTTGTATCAGTATAAAAAAAAATTTCTAAATTTCTCGAAACGCATATCTGCTCAGTTTCCGAAAGTAAGCTATTTCTAAATAATTAACGGATTTTATTTTTTTTTTTTAGCCAACATATTTCTATTACTCCAAACGTTATTTTTAGTAGATTCTAAACGCGTGAGTGTTCGTTTGTAAAATATAGTGTAGATACTCTGATGGTTTCTAAAATTTGAATCTTAGGGTCATGACTTTTTTTGTAACCCAATGTTCCTGTGTTATAAATCGATAAACTTTTGTTGAAAAAAAAAAATGAAAAAGCATTAATTTGTTTGAGTTCTTGGAAAAGATCATCCCCAAAACCCGAAAACTCGGTTTTACCATATACGCAATAAGGATAAAAACTTAAAATATTACAGAAGTTTTATTTTTCAATTTGCTAATGATGGAATTGGATAGAACTTATGTATTTTTAACACATTTAAAAGTTTATACTGATAGCGTAACAGAAATTAATAGGTTCAAGAAAGTTCTAGAAGTCTCTATAAAATCATAGTACTGCTATACTTATATACGTTTATAGAAATTTATATATATATATATATATGTGTGTGTGTGTGTGTGTGTGTGTGTGTGTGTCTCAAAAATTGATATAGTAACTAAAATATTCATTACTAAAATCTTCCTCTGGTGCGAGAGGCTGGAGTTCAAGCCGGAGTCGCGTGAAAATGTTCTATGTTGATTTTGAAAGAAGGCAGGCACCGAACTTCTTGAAAAATTGTTTTAACCTTTTCAACCGTAATTCTGCCATTTTGGTCGAATGCCAGACAGAACTCAGCTTCGTAAATGTCTATTCATACTGCCAGACTTTTAAGGGGAAGAAGAAAAGAAGGACAATTGTTAAAAAAAGAAAACCTCAGTAAATTGCAAAGAATCTCAAAATCTAAGACAAGCTTGGAAATAAAATTAGAATCTGGAAAATAAAACAAATGCAAAATGAAACATCGGAAAAAATAATATTTTTTCAGTTTTTATTCAAACCTTTTTTTATAACCAAGAAAGAAAGAAAGGAATTCGGAAAATGAAATGGCTGACGAAAGATCGTTTTTGCCCGCCATGATTATTGTCTCTGCCGAATGGAATTGATTAAAAGTCGAAGGCACTTAGCTACGCATGCGCAGCCATTAATAGAAGAACCGTATTGTTGGCGCCCTGAAAATTGTCGAAGCCAGACGGTAAACAAAACGATTAGTTCAGGTAATGAATCCGAAAATCAGGACATTTTGCCAAAAATCATTTAATATCTTCCGATTATCCTGCGAACCATCTGTCTTTATTTTTATCATTATATCTATTTATCTATCGTAGTTTTTCTATTTTCATATATCTCGGATTCTTTCTTTCTCTTTTAAGTGTATGTTCAATATTATTTCAATAAACATCCAATCAGTATCTGTCTGTTTATCTCTCTTAGTTTATCACATTCTGTTAGTATTGAGTTAAACTATCTGTCTGTTCATATCTATCTATCTATCTATCTATCTATCTATCTATCTATCTATCTATCTATCTATCTCAGTCTATGAACAGCTACATTTTACATAAATAAAGCGTTTCGTAAGTTCTGAGCTGTTCTTATGTAAACAATCCTCTGTGTTTCTTTAAGACATGGTCTGCCACGGATCCATTCAATGATTCTATCAGAACCTTTTCCAATCAAACCCAGGACCTCAACCACAACTGGAACTATTGATGACCACGTGCTATGTTGAAGATGCTTGTAGTAAGTTTTTGAACTTCTTCAAAGATACATTACAATATGCAGGGACTGCCATATCAATAATAAAGCACATTACTTTTTTGAGGTCTTTTAACAGTATGTCTGGGTGATTAGCTTTGATTATTCTCTCTGTGTATACTTAAAGACCGTAAAATTATTACAGGGCCAATGCCTGTAAGCGGGTCTGGGTGGTGTTCATACCAATTTCTTGCAGTTTCCTTCACATAAAAGTTACAGATTTTCCAATGCAGATATTGGCCCACCTCAAGTTTTATATTCGGTGGATGCTCATACCTTGCAATCTGGTATACGATGGTCAATTGTTTCTGGATTTGTATTTGAGTTCAATAAAAGTTTTCGGTATGTTTACTTGATAATTTCTAGTTAGTAAATATTGGTCCCTGGCAGCCAGAATAGAACCTCCCGTTTCCGTTTTTACTCCAGCACGAGGCAAACATTACAGTGTGTGTGTGAAGGTGTGTGTGTGTCTGTGTGTATGCATCAGAGTCTATGATAATAATTCAATAACTATGAAGAAGTGTGCGCACTCAATATATATATTTATATGTGTGTGTATCTATGTCAGTCTGTTCATTATCTATCTATCTATCTATATCAGTCTGTTCATTATCTATCTATCTATCTATCTATCTATCTATCTATCTATCTATCTATCTATCTATCTATCTATCTATCTATCTGTTATGGGACCTTACCCATAATAACATAATGGACTATTCCATACGTAATAAATACTGCGCCTCAAGAGGAAGCAGAGAGTTCAATCTGAACTACCTACCGATATATACAAACCCCAGTACGGGGTTTGTATATATCAGTAGGTGGATTATGGCCTACTTGCTTTTATTATTATTATTATTATTATTATTATTATTATTATTATTATTATTTATGTTGTTGCTGTCCGTTTTTAAAACTTATAGAAAACTTGATAAATGCTAAGATAACCTGTAGCAGCGTGATTGTATCTTCAGACAAATTCGTACATGTACATAGAAGTGTGTGTCTGTGTGTAAAAAGCTTTTTCCTTGCTGGGTTCACCATAACCGTTCGCAGTTTTACTCGATTAATCTGGCACAAACATATAATAACGAACGTTGTCTTAAGTGAAATTTATGAACTGTATCATCGAATGACCCCAAGGCTAATTTGCCTACTATTGCTCTTTAGAAGGCATCCATGGATAATGAAAAGCCTGAGATAGATAGATAGATAGATAGATAGATAGATAGATAGATAGTGTTATGGTCCGGTTCCTTGTACCACGATGATAGTCCAAGGTAGAACCAATAAAGAAGAACTCGACCACGTATATGGAATAACACAGATATATTACAAACAGGAATATATACAGAGAGGTAGAAAAATGTTAGTACGAACAATCAGGTTTAGTAGTAATTGTCTGAACACGACTCTGTTTCGGACTGCCTCTGACTCGACTGACTGACTCGCTCTGACTGACTGACAGACTCCTGACGGACTTCTGACGGAGCTCACAACAGACTTCAGACTGAACAGTATTTAGTCACCCCCGGCCACGAAGGCATCATGTGGCACAAGGCCGGTTTAACGTGGGATCTCCGAGCCCGTGGGCTCGGCCAAATATATGCCCTTTGAACACGTATAAACGGGTTCAGGGTCGGTTTACCTCCCCGAAAGAGACTCCACCCTTCGGCGTAGCCTCGTTCGAGTTCCTCCCCGCCCGAAGGCAGAGAGTTCAACCGATCAGCCGGTCGTCCGATTTCAGACTGAATGGTATTTAGTCACCCCGCCCCCACGAGGGCATCATGTGGCACAAGACCGGTTTAATGTGGGATCTCCGAGCCCGTGGGATCTCCGAGCCCGTGGGATCTCCGAGCCCGTGGGATCTCCGAGCCCGTGGGCTCGGCCAAAAATATGCCTTTTGAAATCCGTATAAACGGGTTCAGGGTCGGTTTACCTCCCCGAAAGAGTCTCCGCCCTTCGGCGTAGCCTCGTTCGGGTTCCTCCCCGCCTGAAGGCAGAGAGTTCAACCGGTCAGCCGGAGCCGGTCAGCCGGTCGCCCGACTTCAGATTGAACTCTCTGCTTCCTCTTGAGGCGCAGTATTTATTACGTATGGAATAGTCCATTATGTTATTATGGGTAAGGTCCCATAACAGACAGACAGATAGATAGATAGATAGATAGATAGATAGATAGATAGATAGATAGATAATGAACAGACTGATATAGATAGATAGATAGATAGATAATGAACAGACTGACATAGATACACACACATATAAATATATATATTGAGTGCGCACACGTCTTCATAGTTATTGAATTATTATCATAGACTCTGATGCATACATACAGACACACACACATACCTTCACACACACACACACACACACACACATATATATATATATATATATATATATGCACACACACACACACAAATATATATATATATATATATATACAGAGAGAGAGAGAGAGAGAGAGAGAGAGAAGAGAGAGAGAGTGAAAGTCGCATCATTATCCGCACAATGCTATTTAAGAAAATATAATTCATTTTCCCACTTCTGAAATGCATATTTTTTATAAGTAAATTAATCGAATAAATAGTCATAATTCCTTTCAATAACGTTTTATTCAATATAATAAACAGGAACTAAATTAGCAAATACAAATTTATTCGTCGCCTATGTCAATAGCATAGGTTTTCTGGTCAATAAATTTAGACAAACCTCTTCGATAATAGTTAAATTGTATTACAAAATTCATTCTTGAAATTAACCCCCTGAAATTCTACGAAATTTGACGATTGTCTTAAATTAATCCTAACTTCAATCCTGACTAGAATTTTTCATTTGGACTCATTGCAGGCCAAAGTGAGTCATTGATGTCATTGAACCAATTCTTTCCCAGTGTATTTGTGTGTTTAGAATTATTATCATGCTAGAAAGTGAAATGTTGTCTTCCAAAAAGGAACCTGGCACACTTTCCTCCCTAAATATTACAGTACACTATGTTTTTTTTTTCATGATTCCAATGATTTAAAGAACCAGCTCATTGCATTTTAAGTAAAACACTTCCAATGCATAAGATATTCACTCTTATGTTTTACATTAGAGATGATGTTCTTAGGGTTTGTGGCTTCTCTTCAGTTTTAGTCTCTTCACTCCATAAAACTGACTTTCATAAATGTTTCCAAATAAGACACATGCAAATTCCTGTCAAACTTGTGAACCATGCTGACATGTTTACTCCACTGTTTAACAAATCAGAAACAATATCTTTCATCACAACTTTAGGGTTCTTCTTAGACAATCTTTGCAATCTTAGACAGAGTTTAGATATACAACACTTTCCAGGAAGAGATGCAATGGTCTTTGCTTTACAATATTTTCTATGATACACTGTAGTCAACTTGAGTACTAAATATTGCTTAGCTGCTGCTTCAAAACTCATTCTTGTAATGCAAATATTCACAATTTGTTGTTTTAATTTCACAGACAACTCCTTTCGCCTTTGCTATGTTGTTGATACCTGGTTTGAAGTGAACAATATGTATGTTCATTACAGTAAACTTAAGTTCTTTTAAAAATGTACAACTCATAAATACAGCCTTATAATATGATATAAATATATTTTATGAATTTCATAAATAATAAGAATAATTTTCTGGCATATGGATAATTTTGTTTTTGCTAATTTTTTAATGTGTTTATAATATTGTATATATTGTTTATAGTACTGTTTTGAATAAAATATTTTAAAATGGATTTTTAGTATTTATTCAACGCCTAAGATTATATTCTATCTTATATATATATATATATATATATATATATATATATATATATATATATATATATGTAAGCAAATATATGGATATATATATATCTGTTTCAATATTTCAAAAGTGAATTATATTATTTTGAAATTGATTTTCAAGTATGTAAAATTTTGCCCCTCATAAACACAAAGATATATATATATATATATATATATATTGCTTTCAATATCATTGGCTCTGAAGTAAAAATGTACCTTTTGTCATACAAATCTGAAACCTTAAATAATGTCACCTGTACCACCTGTTCAAAGGTATAGCAGCTCTCGGATGGTTAGTTTTGGGGAATTCTGAGTAAAGCGTTGGCCAGATTAGTAAAAGCAAAACCTGAATTTTATTGTGCTTCAGATCTTTTAATAAGATATATATATATATATATATATATATATATATATATATATATATATATATATATATAGTGAGAGAGAGAGAGAGAATTAAGGAAAAAAGAAAACAAGTGGTGTATTTAGTGAGGGTTTTTTTTTTTTTGGTTGAAGAGCTTCGTTAAAAGACTCGCTTGTTAAAAAGAAAATGGAGAAAGAAATGAAGCGAGTGTTGAATCTTTAATTCAAAACAATCGGAAAAGGTGAAAGGAAGATGGAACAGAATAACTGACAAGTTAAGAAAGAAGGGTAGAAAAGAATGAAGGAAAGAAGGAAAATGATGAAGGAAAGGTAAAGAACGAAAATAAGCAGAAAGAAATAAATTGAAGGAAAAATATCAAAAGAAAAATAAATAATAAAACAAAAAAAAAAACGAACAAACTCTTACTTAAAAACGACGGTGAAAATTGTTTAAAAATAATGCCTTGTCTTTGTTCTGACCAAAGAAAAAAATCAGAGAAAAGAAAAAAAAAAAAGACAAAAGACATGGAAGAATTATTTTCTGAACGCTGAATTCACTTTAATTAGCCTCAAATGGAAGGCGGCTTCTTTGTTGTTCTTGACGATTCAATTTCTATTATTGTGATTGAGATTGATTTACGCATGCGCACTACAAACGCTTTTAAGTCGGGTGGTTTGCGTGGAAAACAGTAGAAATGAGTTCAGATCTTGGAAGAAGCGATGCTTTCCAGATCAGTATCAAACTGTGAATTCAAAAACACAGCCGAAGATAAAATATTTTCAAAATTATTTCTATTTGGCAACTTAAATTAGAGACAAAGGTGAAAAATAGCCAAAGCGGGAATGTGTAGATTGATTTCAACTGATACAAGCACAAGGTCCCAACAAGGAATTTCCCGGGGAACATTGAGCTAGTAACACAACCTATAGTCTAACAAGAAACCTTTCGTGGCAGACAGCCAAAACAGATATGTCAGACTGTGATAGATAGATAGATAGATAGATAGATAATGAACAGACTAAGATAGTTTTTCTTCTTTTATAGGGAGGTTCCCCCTTTACAAGGCTCGGGAGCCACTCGGGGTAGAGGATTAAGCGTGGTGCCATTTGTGTGTAAGATAATAGTTAACTCTCGCTTAGAATAATTTAAAATTTTAGTGATATGGGAAACATGTAGTTGGAAGTCGGTTCCACAGGGCAGTAGTTCGATGGAATACGGAGGGAATGTGAATGATTTGATACGATGTAAGTGGCATGACGTGTTCTTACTGAGAAGGTTTAACTCGGTGGGACCAGGGAATGTAGTTCGTCCGAGCACTTCCGTAGAACTAGCAGTAGAACAGCGAAAGGCTTGCCACATCCCAACTTTGAGAGAGAGATTGAATGATGGAGAACAATTCGTAACTCACAAGGGCTCGGAGACACTTTTGAACTCTGTCAAGGTTGGAGAGTGATGTCTGAACAGTTCCCGCCCAAATATGACAATATTCCATTTTTGGTTTGATCTGACTCTTGTAAAGGTAGAGCATAGCAGGAGCCAGGTACTTACTGGGGCGATACAGAGAGCCAACCATTTTACCTGCGTCTTTAGCAATGGATCGTATGTACGAGTTCCACTTCAGGTCGGGTGTGAGTTTGAGGCCCAACAGTCTTTCAAGGCACGGTGCTTCCCCGAGAGGACATCCCTTCATCTCGATTGGTGGTAGTTCGAGGTCAGATCGGCGATGAAGGGATGTAACTAGCTTGGTCTTCGAGCCATTGAATGTAATCAGCCAGTTTTTACTCCATTGGGTAGTTTGTGCCAGATCGGAAGAGAGTTCAGTCGCCAAACGTTGACCATCCAGAGTTTTAGGGAGTGCGCTCGTATATAGCCGTGTCATCGGCATAGATGTTTACAAATGATCTGAATATATTATTAGGCAGATCATTTATGTAGATCAAAAAGAGAGTTGGTCCGAGGAGAGACCTCTGTGGGACGCCTGCATTGACCTCTTGTGCTCCGGAAGACTGGCCTTCAGGTTAATTAGGAAGAATTTTATGATTGAGAAGAGCCTTCCAGTGATTCCATAACTGGAGTGCTTGTGTAGTCAGCCGTCGTGCCAAACTTTGTTGAAGGCCTTTGAGATATCTGGAGCTATATTCCTCGAGGTGTGTTTGTTGTCAAGAGCCTCGACGGTTCTGTGAGTGATGATAGTTAGGACGTCGGCAGTGGATCGGGCCGACCGAAACCTATACTGCACATCGCTAAAGAGTTTGTTTTCTAAGTGTTCGACGACCTTATAGTTACGAACAGACTGAGATAGATACGAACAGGCTGAGATAGATAGATACATAGATAGATAGATATGAACAAACTGAGATAGATAGATAGATAGATAGATAGATAGATATGAACAAACTGAGATAGATAGATAGATAGATAGATAGATAGATAGATAGATAGATAGATAGATAGATAGATATGAAAGGGTTTAGATAGTAATAGTAATGGTGAAAGTAGTCATTTACAGGCAGTAAAACCTTAGAATTCATTAACCCAGCAGTTAGCATTAATGCCGGTTGAAATGTATAAACTTTCTTTTCTTAAAAATGTTTTTCAGGAAAATAGACATCTTGACTAACTACTACCACTCTTTTTAGTATCGATAGGAGTTACCTTCCATACCTTTTGTTTAGGGTAGTGTGGAAAGTTAACTGATTGATTATATCGTTATTTTCTCTTATAGCTAAATTTGTTATTCAATTGAGTTGTTGCTGCTGTCTTCAAGTGATGTGTTTTTTGTTATTTCGTAAAAGTCTTTCTTTGTGATTTTGTATCGCCAGTCTTATAGGATCCGATGAAGGATTGTTTTCTTTAAGACCTAAATGTTTTAATCATTGATCTGGAAGAATTATGGTATTTCCATGATTGCTTAGGCATTTCTGGATAGATAGATACATACATAGATAAATAGATAGATAATGAACAGACTGCGATAGATAGATAGATAGATAGATAGATAGATAGATAGATAGATAGATAGATAGATATGAACAGACTGATATATATATATATATATATATATATATATATATATATATATATATATATATATATATATATATATATAGGTAACAATCCAAGTGAATCCTATTAAGACAATATAAAATATTAAATATTAAAACTGATTCACACATACACCTCAATGTTTTAATTAAACAGAGCAACATATCTATTGACTAGTTTGAAAAATCCTTGTAAATTTTTTTATTTCAATTTACAGACTTAATGTAATCTTAATTCCTATTGTATAATATATATATTTATATATATATATATATATATATATATTGAAAGAGAGAGTGCTAACTAGATAGATAGATAGATAGATAGATGCTTAAATAATTTCATCATCTGAGTTAATAGAATTCCTGAAATAATAGATGACTTTGGCTTTACGGAAAGAACACGGGTATATGGCTGTAATAGTTAAGACACTAGTGAGACTCGACCCTATCGTCATTGCCCAACGCCATTAACTCGTTATTGCCTTAAAACTGGCGCCCACTCGGTGACAATGAAACTCACTACAGAAGCAACGGTCTGCATGATTTATAATAAAATAATAAAATACAATACTATATATATATATATATATATATATATATATATAACAATAAAATTACCAACAATACATATTTTATGAACAACCAAGAGTGTATCTAAAAATCGTTTACTCTAAAAGTATAATATTATGTATAATATCTGTAGTTGAAAGCATAAAATTACCTATTAAATTAAGATTAAATAACCTATTAAATTAAGATTACCTATTAAATTAAGATTAAATAACCTATTAAATTAAGATTACCTATTAAATTAAGATTAAATAACCTATTAAATTAAGATTACCTATTAAATTAAGATTAAATAACCTATTAAATTAAGATTACCTATTAAATTAAGATTAAATAACCTATTAAATTAAGATTACCTATTAAATTAAGATTAAATAACCTATTAAATTAAGATTACCTATTAAATTAAGATTAAATAACCTATTAAATTAAGATTACCTATTAAATTAAGATTAAATAACCCATAGAGGTATTGATATGCCGCTAAACAAAATTGACCAACCAACCAAATACTGGTTTGAGGACAATCTTTCATCCAATCTCCAGGTTCTAGTTATGTTAAAACGTTGCCAATTGTATATTTAAAATAGTTATTAATCTCTTTTCAATCAAAATTACCGCTGCTATACAGTCTTCTTGCCAGGTCAAAGCACATAAAAGAATAAAGGAAAGGTCAGTGTTGGCGGATAAAGAGAAAATCTCTAAGAATTGACTCCAGCCAAAAGAATTTTTTTTTTTATATCTATAATTCAGTTACCAAATTCTTTTACTTTTACCAAGGTCGGTGAAACTGATAATGTTACCAAACTAACTGTAAATTAAGTGCAATAGTTCTACGCACTGTTTATCAAAATATTTAACTGCGTTCGTGTTTAAATGCTAAAAGTGTACTAAAAATCTCACTTACATACCCCACTTGACTGTTTTTATATTAAAATTTTAATCGTGTTAATTTCCCACGAGACTTGTATGAAAGCCGAAGGTATATCCCCTTTCACCCATTTAAATAATTATTAGCTTGATACAGAATTTTCCAGCACATCGTTAGGGAAATCTTAGAAGCGTTCCTAAAATCTACTCAGCTCTTTATTGCTTGTGCAAACAGCTGTAGGACAGAGTTTACAAATGTCGCGGATACTTTTAAAGTTATGAAGCTGTGTTCCGCAGTAACTGACAAAAAGTTATGTTGCTCAATATTTCAATACGTGTTTTTCCCTTCTTGTTTGAGGGAGATAACACTTTTATTAAACAAAATAGTCATTGGCGAAGACAAATTATTTTATTAGGTTGAGGAATTTTAGTTTTGAGAACCTAACTGTAATGAATGATATCTGCAACTAAGTACTAATCTTATGTAACATTTAAGAATAAAATTAGAGTTACCTAGCGCGCCTTTGTCTTTTCACGGCAATGACAGCGTACAAAGTGGGTTAAATTGAAAATGTTGTTCTCCACAACAAACTAAGAATAATAGGAAACAGTTTTGGTACACGGTTGTTATGTTCTTTCCCCATCCGCCATATTTACCTGTCATTGTACCAACTGATTATCTTTTTTTCACCGTTTTTAAACGATCTGATTTGGTATGGTTGGGTTTGTTTTACGGCATATTAACCACAATGGGTTTTTTTAATGCCGACAACATTTTTATTGTTGGTAATATTTTTCCCTCGAAAATGTATCACAGGTAATATTTTTCCAAAGAATGTATAGCAGGTAATATCCTTTTTTTCACAAATATATAGATTGGTTTGTTTTGTCTTACGGCATATCAACTTCAATGGGTTATTTAATGTCGACAAGATTTTTATTACTGGTAATAATTCTTTTTTTAAAATGTATTTCTGCTAATATTTTTGTTTTTCCCCAAAATTCATTGCTGGTAATATTTTTTCTTCAAAAATTCATTGCTGGTAATACTTTTTTCTTCAAAAATTCATTGCTGGTAATACTTTTTTCTTCAAAAATTCATTGCTGGTATCAAAATCTAATTTTACTCATTTCATAGTGCTTTGACACCAGTTCGGGGATTAACTATTTCCCATAGCTGGGACTTACAGATGCTATCATCCCCGGTCAGAGTGGACCTGGGAACACTAGAAATTAAGAGGTCCACGCTGCTCAAAACCTTCTGATCAGAACCCTTGCTGTTGGATGTATTTTATCGTCTTACCCAGGACGCTTTGATGTAAAATACCTAAAAGCCAGTTTAAAGAATTCATCGTAAGCATTTTCACATGAACAGGAATTCTACTCAAAGTTAATGAAATAGAGACTGATAAGTGACAATAATTTATTGCAAAAAATAGTGAATATATAACTAAGTAAAATGGACGCCTCACCGTGGTGTAATTGTTAGCAAGCTTATCTCGCTAGATCAATTACGACTGATTAGTGAGATCGATCCTCAATGGGCGCCCCATGCTTTCGGCCTTGTGCCACATCTAAGCTACGCTTAGAAAATTGCTGTAACTGAATAAAATGTAATTGTGCTTTACTTTTTTAAAGATAAAGTGAAAAAATAGAATTTCTTTCGGCCTGAACCTGATTTTAGTCGAATCTAGCTAAGCTTTGCTGCATTCAGGACATTCTTTTATTATCTCAATTTGAAGCGAACTAAGAAAATGTTTTTTAATTGTTCACGCAAAATTATTTCAGTCCTATTGATGGACTTTGAAAAACTTGCTACTCTTCAACACTACAGGGAACAATAGTCTGATTAGAATGACGCATTGGTAGGGAAACTCATAATGGGTTGCATGGCAATACCTATATTGTGGTGAAAATTCGATGCTGTAAACTATCACAGAAGTGAAAATGGGACCTTTTACACACCGTCCGTTCTCCTGGACTTTTACGTACAAATTATCGTCTGTTCGCGCCATATATTTATACATCATCTGACGATCCAAACCAGTCCAAGAAATCAAAACATTCTTGGAAAAAACTCAATAAATCAAAATTATCTTTTATGTTGAAATATATAATTTAACTGAAATGTGGCATTAAAATGGAGGAAGATATTTTATTGACTGATAATAATGTCACGAATTTATGGTAATAACAGATTTTGCAAGGACCTTTGTACATCAACATAACATTAGCTATAAAGAAGAACAAACCTGAACATTACGAATATTTTTAGCATTACACACACACACATATATATATATATAATGGACTCTCCTCCCCCTCATAGGTTTCGATGTATGAGGTTCCAAATATATATATATATATATAACGTCATCCACAGACAGACTGTTTCGCTGTTTACAGCTCATCAGTGTGGCTAGACATCCGGTTGCCTCTAGCTAGGATCGAAACCTGACTGAATTGGTGTCAGTCGGTGCTTCTAAGCCGTCGGCGCACGGTAGGGATGAAGGTGGATTTTTAGCATATTTATTTTTAGAAACATGCCCAGTGACTGACAGTGACTCAATTCGCTTTCGTGAAGAGTCTCGCTATATAGCTATAATAGTCACCCCCAGAGTGCTCAACTGAAATTAATTTCAGGAGCAGATATATATATATATATATATATATATATATATATATATATATATATATATATATATATATATATATATATTATGTATAGTGCGTAGGTATGCAGAAAATAGAAAAGAACACGTTGGGTGCATAATCCGGGGTTCGTCTATTGATAAGAATTAACTCTCTGACCACTTAACGAAGGAAAATAGCCACTCCCACAATAACGAATTCTGTAACGGACCATGCCTAAAAACACTCGTAAACCGAGAGATAGCTTATTCCTAAAATTTCGCTTGAAGATGAAACGGGACTAAACACCTCAATTCAACTTAATTTTAATAATTATTTGGATGGTTTCGGCTCTCGTTTTTTTTGAAACATGAGAACTCTTATGTAAAACAGAAGGAATCATATTTTTAAACAAAAATATTATTATAATATATATATATATATATATATATATATATATATATATATATATATATATATATCGTCGTCGTCGGCTCCCAGTCGTGTCCGAGTATCGGGTTCTGTCAATCTTTTAAGTCCTATCTTCACGGTTGATGTTTATGTTTGACATGACCCAGGCGAGCCCCAGTCGGTGGTGGAATAGTCGCGGACAATGCTCACAAGGGGGGGAGAATGAATGATGATGGCGGTGAAAGGATGAAAAGAAAAAAAACGACTGAATGCCAGCCGCTGAGGATATTGTTTTAGGGGTCGTGGCTGCGCGGCGGCCACGCACACACACTCGGCCAGCATCGCTTCCACCGCGGCTGAAGAAAAACGAGACAGGCGACCTCCACGATGCTGGTTGCAATATATATATATATATATATATATATATATATAAGCAAAGCAATAATAATTTTAATAAATTTTCTAATCTGACATCACTTATTAATATACACGTTATAGTTATTGGATAGACGTGGGCAGTGGATTAAAGAAAATATGCCTCCCGCAGCAGGGATCGAATCTGCATCCGGGGAAAAACAGCTTTAAAGTAGCTACGAAACCTTACAGCAAATATGGCTGAATTATCCATTTTTAAAAGATCGAAATGAATGAAAAAGTGAGAAAAGAAGAAAGAAAGAGAAATCACGCTAAAAAGGAAGATGGAAAAACCAAAAATCTGAGAAAAGAAAGAAAAAACATTAAAAAGAAAGAGAAAAGCAAAAAATATGAAGGAAATGATGAGAAAAACGGAAAGAAAAATAGAAAAGGAAAGACGAATGAGGGAAGAGAAAAACATAAAGAAAAGGAAAAGAAAGAAAAAGAGAGAAAACCTTGAAGAAGTGTCGACTGAATGATCCAGAAAAAAAAACTAGTCAAAATGTACGAAACATAGTCGGTGAGAAGGAGGAAAAAAAATTTTTTTTCAACGTCCAGTGAGTTGAGAAGCAGCAGGGAAGGAAGCAGATTGCAGCGAAAAAAATGTTTGTGGAATTGCGAGAAGGCAGAACAAATGGAAAATGAGAAGACATTCCAGTGTCCATATCGTGGCGCTAGTCATTCGAGATGCAAAATAAGACAGCGTGTCCAAAAAGCCATGGACTATTTGAATTGGAAACATGATAGCGTAAAGTATATCAATCCTTACAACCTATATATATATATATATATATATATATATATATATATATATATATATATATATCAAAGAGATAGTGAAAGGTTCAAACAAGGAAATAAAATTCACAAAATGATGAGCTTTTACAAGTTTAGCAAGTACACAAATATAGAACAGGGGTATAAGACAAGGACGCGTTTTTTTCATCGCATTGCTTCTATAGTGAGATGACCCTAAGAGAACAAGAAAACCTCGCCCTTCTCCTCCTTCTCTTCTTCTTCTTCTTCTTCTTCTTCTTCTTCTTCTTCTTCTTCTTCTTCTATGTGGCATGTTCCATTAGGACATGGTCAATAATGACCTACACAAAATTACTCTCCTTCTTCTCTCTTATAAGCATTTGTCTTTTTACTATCCATCCGATTACTTTTTATGTCATCCATTTACACAAGTTCATTATGTAGACTACTTACTACTTATATCTATCCCTTTAGCTTTCAATATACCCTATAAGTAAAATTCCTTAAGACCTTCTTCCTCATTATGTGATCCACTGTCCTTTTCGTTCATATTTTTCTAAAAACTTATTCGCAGCTCCCATACTATGTCCATTGTATTCGCAGCCTCCTTCCATAAAACCACATTTGTTGGCTTAAGTTTCCTCGTCATCTGTGAGGAAATTGTCCTGTATTTATTGCCAGATAGATGGATTGACATTACAGTTCATATTCAGCACACTTTTCTTTGTTTCTAACGACATTTTTTTGTTTTCTAATGGTTTGCTTAGATTTTGGAAAGCATATTTTACTATTCTAATGAGCCTTCGGATTTCGGAGCCACATTTTTTTTTCTGTCTTTTGTTCAAACATTTGCCAGATATTTAACTGTTTGTACTTCCGTGGAAGTAAGCTTACCAACATCGGATACACAGGAGACACTGTGAAGATAGCGAATCTATAAGTAAAACTTAAAAGTCTCTAAATTTCAATTTTTTTCCGTGAAGAGATGCACGTTCTTTTCCCTTCTAAACTACCCCCTTCTCTCTATACATGATCAGCCATACCTGATTTTAATGTTTTTCGACCCTCTTCCAGTCTAACATAGTTATGAGAAGTCTGTTTTGTATCTGAAGGCCACTGATAAAAAAGAAACAAACGATAAAATTATGTTTTGTTTAGTTTTTTTTAACAGGACTAAATAATGAAAAGTGCTGGTAAAATTGGGGCATCACAGTGTATGGTGCTGGAGGAATAACTTTAATCTTCCACACCCTGAACAAACATGGCATATCAAAGAAATCAGGTGCCCAACGTTATTTAGTATTCTTACTCAATGGTGGAATGTTTGAGCGACATTTTGTCACGTTCAAAGGTTTCCATATGCTCTTCTTCAGCATTTGGATTCTGAACATCAATGCACCTTTTGATCATGGTACAAGCAATGAACCGGTGTTGATAGTTCAATCCTGATTAAGTAACCCATGATGATGCAACAGGCTAAGTTAAACTTGTGTAAATAACTATCGTGAACGCACGTGACCAAGTTTATTTTCTAAACATGAGTGAAATGAGTTCGATCCTCACCTTTTACCTCACCTGTTTGTTTTTATGGCTTATCAAACTTTTCCAGTTTTTTGAAATTGTAAGATATTTTTTGAGATAATAATGGTTTACTGATACAGACCTAATAATTAACCTATAGCGAAGGAGGAATACAAAGGATTTATACTTTTCCCAAGTGTATTTGTACGTAAGTAAATATAACGAACTTTACTGGAATTGTAATTCTGATTTCTAATTCCGTGCTCTTATTCATGGCATCACCAGATCATCAACTGGTATCGACATTGCTTAACTTCGGTGAGAAAACCTGTGTTTCAACGTAATATGGGCGTAATCTCCCTCATTGGCTGCAATATATTTGTGATCTCTCTCTTTATATATATATATATATATATATATATATATATATGTGTGTGTGTGTGTGTGTGTGTGTGTGTGTGTGTGTGTGTGTGTGTGTGTGTGTGTAAAAATATATAGAAAATAGGAAAGAACTCGTTAGGTAAATAATCCAAAGTTCTTTCGTATTTTTTGTTATTATTTTTAAAAAATAGTGCTCGATACAAAAGTAGAGCATAAATATAATTATTTATTTAAAAATATGATTCCATCCATAAGAGTTCTCATGTTTCAAAACAAGAGCCGAAAACTTAAAATAATTATATTGAAGTTTTTCGGCTCTGAGAACTCTTATGTAGCGATGGAATCATATTTTTAAATAAATAATTATATATATATATATTATATATATATATATATATATATATATATAGAGAGAGAGAGATACTAGACACTAGATACATATATATATATATATAGATACTAGATACTAGATATATATAGTTTAAAAGTGTACTATATTTATAGGATAATGTGCTCAATATCAGAGATAGAGCTTATGTAAATATAAAAATGAATATTGAAGTCAACACTTAGAGGAAACAGGCGTTGTTATGGATAAATTCTTTTTGTGCCTGTACACGAAGAAAAGACTGTACTTATATTTGAAATTAACGCATGTCCACCTGGAATCAGTTTAAACGGGGCGCATTCTTTCTTGGAAACCAAGTAAAGAGTACTGAAGTGTTATGCGATATCCCGTATGGTAGCGAATGCTGTACGCTCTTCTTGAAGATGAAGAAGAGACTCGAAACGACAGAAATGTGGTTCTACAGAAGGATACTGAGAAGGATATCTTGGGTCGACCATGTGACCAACAACGAGTTTTTGGAGAGAATGGCAACCAAAAGGAAACTTATACTTAACATCAGGAAGAGGCAGTTGTCATTTCTAGGGAACATTATAAGGAAAGATGGCTTGGTAAATCTGATACTCACAAGACAGACAGAGAAGATGAAGGACAGGGGGACAGAGGAAAGCAATGACATACTTAATGGGCTTTGAGCAAATGGATGATAGAACAGGGTTTAGAAGAAATAACAAAAAGACAAAACTTTAAATACATATACGCATTTATATATAGTGAGTGATTGGGCTCTTCGGTTGGCAGGCTTCTCACGCTAGAACAGTTACGACTGAGTAGTGAGTTCGATCCTCACTGAGTACTCCACGCTTTCGGCTTTGTTTACAGATCTAAGGTGCATTTAGTAAATCAGCATATATATATAGTTAGTGATTTCGGTAGATTTGTTAGACGAGACATGAAAAACGGTAATTTGATAGATGAACAGCTTTATCATTTTGTTCAAATCCTGCGAATTTATTTGCTACACCTCGTATATGGTAATGGTATTAGCCGTTTCCTTATAAGGAAACTTTTGAAATACATTCACCGAGCAACTTTAGACTGAAATTTATAAAATATTTCTTTTAAGACGATTATTCAGGAACATAGGCTTCTCAAATTCAGTAACTTTTATTGCTCTTTCTGGTATTGATGAGGTTTTCTTTCTTAATCTTTTGTTTGAAGTAGTGTGGAATGTCAACTTCTTCATTAAGTGATTATTTTCTCTTCAAGTTACATATGCTATCCATTTTAATTGTTGCTGCTGTTGGTAGTCCTCAAATGATGTGGTTTCCGTTATTAGGTACAGTTCTTTGTGGTTCTATATTGCCAGTTCAAAGAAGGGTGGTTCTCGCTAAGAACTACAGGCTTCATTCGCGGAAAGCCATTTTTAATCAGTGATCTGAGAAAGTCGTTGTATACAGCTGAGAGTTTAGATATTTCTGAACGAGTTTGATGTCATGCATGTCACCCATATGACAGTCTCAATCTGGCGACGCTATCTTAGAATGTGACTCGAGGTGTTAATGTTTTGGTTTTGTAGCAACATGTGGTGTTGTGCGAAACTACCTCGAGCGCAGCCTATTCCATGTTTAATTTCCTCATTCTATATACTACCTTTTTATAACTTTCCCATACTCAGAAATATTTGATTTGTGAAATATTTACTAATTCCACATACTGAATTTTTAGGATGGATTCACGTTACATGACATCGCTGCATTCATTGCAATTCTAGATCATAGATTTTGTTTTGGAAACGTATATGTTGAGTTCTGTCATTTTTTTTTTTTTTTTTTGTTCAAGTTTCATCGTTATCCCAATAACCTCGGGACTTAAAACAAGAAAGCTGTTTTATCTTAGTAGATCGGTTTAGGGTGTGGTATGGAAGGTTTAAATGACCAGTGCACTTCTCTTCACATCTGTGCTTGTATATGCGTAGAGCATAGTCTAGAATAAATCGATTAGGGTTCTCATTGCCTCTTTATCGTACATCTGATTAGGCTTGAAATATTCCTCTGTTAGGATTTTCAGATACAAACATTTATAATATCACTCGCACCCGGCAAATTTTTTCTCGGGTTTTTCCAAATTTCCCATCCAATGAGTTTACTTAAAGTACCAAGAAATATGATTTAATTCAAGTTGATGATTACAGAACGTATGCAAAATGTATGAAGAAAGTATTTAATTTCCAGGAGTAGACCGTTCTCGTTCTATTGCTCATGTCTCTTGTCTAGTTCTTATTTTATTTCATACCGTTCAGTTATTAGTTGTCCGTTTCCACACAATGACGCAAGGATTGAACTCACATCTACAACGTCACAAAAATCACAAACCAACCATCTTACCCACTAGGCCAGTGCGCCGTAGTTGCAGTAAACCTAGAGCTTGAATTAACCTAGCTGCTGATTAGGATGCAGCTGCTGATTAGGTTGCATCTACCACTGCTGCAGTTGAAGACTTGCTGTCCTTTGTCTTTCTTTCTTTATTAGCGGTTCGCTTATTGTATTGATTTCAATGCTAGGCCCACTAAAAAGGTACTCGTAGCCTAGCATATGCACTGATTCTTTCAGACGTCTAACTCTCCAATATCCTTCCTTGTTCAGTATTTTCTTCATTCCA